TTTGAAGATAGTTCTAATGGTATCCTAGTCCACTAGTTAAACTAGACCCAGAAAGTGTTACGTCTGAGTATACCTTGATTGTCTGCACGCTAGATGCAAATGAGACCTTTAAGGAGGATATGGAGCATAAGGTTCCATATTGGAATGTGAGGCAACCATATATGAGTACAATTGGCGTTTATCATACTTAGCTCACTGCACTAGAATCGGACATCTTATGTGCTGATAATCTTTTGGCATAAAGTAGCACTGCTCCTACACGCTACTACCAAATTGGTGTTAAAGATGTTTTTTTCCATTCCTACGGATTTGGGCTTATCTATACCTATGCATCTCAGAATATATCACACCCCTTTAATCTTCGAAATGATACATACCTTGTAGGATTCGCTGAATCAGACTATCTATCTGATCGCACAAGGTACATTCCCAAATGGTTATTTCTTTACCATTAAGGAACATCGTAATATCTTAAAGGTCAACCAGATAGACTTTTGTTGCGAAACATTTGAATCGTTCCAAGACTTGCAGCATCTCATCACGTAAGAGATATGGTCGAGAACTCTTGTTAAGCATATTCGAATTCCTTACAATTTTCATCCATTGTTGAGTCCCAACAACGATCCATGAAGACAACGATGTATGTATCGACTAGATAATGATACTTCAATAAGTCAACGCCAAGCATATTGTGTCTACATCAGCATGAGCATCAGAAGATTGAAGTCAAGCAGTACGATCCCAGACAACCTTGTTGATCTCTACACGACGTCACTGCCGAAGTCTACATTCTAAAAGCTTGTCCAAGGAACTCGTATGCGTAACTTTCTCACTTACGATGCTTATAGTTTCATTTGGAAGGTCTGTCAAACTCAAGGAGGGTATCTACAAGTATACCCACTTGACCTTAATGTACTCTTTTTACTTATAATTAGGAGCATTTTTCCCAATGGGTTTTTGCTACCTGACTAGGTTTTGATGAGGCACTCATCTTTGGTTGGTCATACCCTTATGTACATCCTACTTGCATCCTAAAGACGTATAGTTTTGACTTAATGCAACTTCTCAATTTTCTCATTGGACTATGGCCTTTTGTCCCACCTTGGGTTTTGCCATAGCAAGGTTTGGTGAGTTTTACCACCCATGCATTCTTCCGTTTGTTTTGAGACTTGAGTTCACTACTTGTGCCGACTAGATGAGACGACTTCATCAACTACTTCTACATTTGCCTAAAGATCGGATGCGCCATCTACTTGAGTATTTGCACACTCAAAGGGTGGTGTTGTGACATATGTTCTAATATATATTGTGATTGTGTAAATCCTAAGTAGAGTTAGATTAGGAATCCTTTGGGATCTAGAAGATTTTTCTTAATAGACTTTGTATTACTTGGAGAGCAAATTTCTCTCCTACTTATTATTGTAAATAAAGGCACAAGGACTGGGGAATTAACACATAATTTCTCAAGTCTATTCTCCACTCTCTTTCTCTCTATGCCGCACTCCTCAGTTAAACATAGGCCACAACATTCTATTCAATTTTCTGCACATTTAGTTTTGTCTACTCGAGGGTTTAGTCTTCCATCAATTTTATGCACATTTAGTTATGTTTATGGATTTTTATTATTTTTTATGAAAATATGACTTTCATTAACATGAGGAATCAACATACAGTACAAGAGGATAGAGCCAACTAGGCTCTTCTTCAATCCCAGATTCAAAATCATCAACACGAACTGCATACTGAGCTAGTTCATGAGCCACAACAAGGTATGTTCTGCCATTGACAAGAAAACATTCGAAACTTTTTCCCAACATTTGTATATTCTCCATGATACAACCCTCTAAACCCAGACAATCCTCTATAGACGTAATATCAGCCACCACCACTCCCTTCGCGTCGAGCTTGAGAACAATATCTCTAAGAGCCAAATTAAAAGCAAACATCAAACGTTCCTTTTCTGCAAACATTTCAGTGGCTTTAACTGAAAGGCACTCCTACATTGGTTTTGATTCGAATTATTGTGAAAGTATTACTTTTTAAAGATGAAATTTATTTTATTTTTTTATTTTTTTGTTTGTGAATGTTTTGCGGTAGGTTTTGGCATACCTCCTAACATCATCTCTCAATGCGTCACCATTGACTTCTTGAGAGATCCTCTTGTCCCATAATGCAAGTAGTTTGGTGTTGTCGTCGATCTCAAGCTTTTTCTGGCACACAATGGTGGGATTCGCAATGTTAAACTTCATGTTTGCTCCGATGCCGGCAGGTGGAGAGAGAAATGCTTCGCCTGTTAAACCACTGGAATTTGACGAGCTCCTGGTAGCTTGTTTCTTGAAATTTATTGGCTCAACAAATTTGATTGTTTTACTTCAACTAATTTGGTTTTCGTGGGCTAGATAGTCATTTCCTATAAAAGTATATGTCATTTAATAATTTTTATGTGGAGTGCATTCAACAATATGTGAGGTGCTAATAAAAATACCCATAAAAAAATATAGGCAATTTAGTAATTACAAGACCAGAAATTTGACTGTTTTTTATGTAAACCTCATAACCATGTAATAATAAGGGAGCCTTACTTATAGAAACACAAATATATACCATATTTCACACAACTCCACATCTTTTAAAACATTTCAAGGATGGACAAAAAACTCAATAATAGAAACCCAAACCCAACCCAAAAAGAAACGGACAAACTAAATAACGACATGTGCCCCTTGACTACAACCATTAATAAACAGACACATTAACCACTGCACGACAAAAAATCATAAAAACGAACCAGTTTCCCTTATTCAATACTGCAAACTGACGGTTTCATCTTCCCCAAACATATCATTTCAAACATTATCACGCAAAAGATACGTTCGTAGAAAAAAAAAAAACTCTAAAATCACCATAGAATCCGACACTTTCAAGCCAGATTTTCAGTAAATGATACACACGTTCAGTCGAATTTCCAGAAGATCAATGTTTCAAATTTTTTTCTACTACTCAAAATCGTTCTTTTGCATGATTATATTTTGAACTCTGTTAAAAACGAATGCATTATCAAAGTTTTTGATGCATTATCAAGTGTTTTTTGCACTTGATTTTACAAAAAATTTAGTGTTCCAGTTCGAGAAAAAACAATTTCAGTGTTTTAGATGTTACAGTTTCACCTTTTTAGTTAATATGTCTACTGATTCTTCAACAACATCTGGAAAAAAAATGAATATGCTTCTAAATTTTGTGAGTAAAAACATTAATCGTCTAGCTTGATGTTGTACTTTGTACTGATGCTGCACTTTGAACTAATGTTGCACTTTGTATTGATGTTGCACTTTGCAAATTAACCTTGGTTCTACTTTTTGTTTGTAAATTGGTTTTGCACATAAATATGTTGTAGAAAAAAGAAAAAAGGAATATGCGTCAAGCTTGTGTTAAAAATAACTATGCATCTACATTGTGCGTTAACAACCAATTATGCATCTACCTTGTTCGCTAAGTGATGCTGCATATAGCTTGTTTGCTAAGTGATGCTACATATAGCTTGTGCGCTAAGTATGTTGCATATAGCTTGAGCGCTAAGTGATGTTGCATCTAGCTTGTGTACTAAGCATCTGCCCTTTGGCATCTAGTTTGTCATTTATGTGACTTCATAATTTTTGACTAAAAATTATACTCATTATCGTTTCATTTTTTTTATGAAGATGTTGCTAAAAGTAAAACATTTTGCAACCAAGAAGAAATCAGCTCAAAAACCTCATGCTGTAAAGCGTTGGGCAACAGATGATAACAAAGAAAACCACTTTTCTGAAACACACCTCATGTTGAACATCACGACCATCAGCCTCCCCCTAATTGATTCAATCAAATCAAGAATAGGCATGCGACGCTCTTCAGAAATCATTACGTTAAATGATTTTGCAGTTGCATTACTCATTTCGACCCACCGATTTCCCTGAAAATATATAATAATAATGCTCTTTTGAAAGATCATCTAAAAATGAATCAGAAATATCTCCGCCAACACTTCTCATTTTCTCAATATTCCTATCAAAATCTTCAACACTACATGGATATACACAATTTTTGACATACTCACACAACAGATCCTTCAAAAACTTATTACCTGCACATTGTCTCTCTAAATTTTCCCTCAAATGTATAATGCATAAACCATGGGAAGCAGTAAGGAAATACTTTTGAATAGCATTCAAAAGCCCATGATGTCGATCGGTAATGAACGTGATATTCCTTATTTGGTAATTTAATATTCAAGCCAAGTGATCAACAAACCATGTCCAATTGTCTTCATTTTTTATGTCAACAATACCATAACACAGGGAAAATCTTTGTATAGAAAAAAAAAACTAATTATATCAAAAAACAGGTTCTACATATAACATTACTGATGCTGCACATTAATAACCGATGCTTAACAGTTTTGTAAAAATTGATACTGCACAAATGCTGCATAAAAAGAATCAACTGAGTCATTAATCAGTTTTGTAAAAACTAATGCTGCACAAATACTAATCAAAAGTTCAAATTCTTATATGTATATTGGGGGTGGCCAACCCCTCACCCATAATTTGATTCATAAGCCATTTACTGTTTCCTAATCCATTCCACATTAATAAACAAATACTACACATTATTAAACTGATGCTGCACTTTAATAATCAACTCTACACAAAAAGAATAACATGATTCTCCAAAATATATAAATATTGAAATTCAAAACGATATCATAAATATGTAATTTATAACAATTAAACAAACTTACCATTATTTGCATTTTTTAGCACAACAACCAAGAAGAGTATCGGTATATCTTTCCTTCAAAAACATATCATCAAGGAACAACATTGGTCTACACCATCGAAATCCTTTAACACAAGCTCCAAAAAATATGAATAACATTTCAAACCAATTACTATCGTTATCAAGTTCTAGTGAAGAAAATGATCCATCATTGGCACGCACAAACTCATCAAGGTACCAAAACAAAAATCCAAATGAGAGAGCCTCGTCACCATTACCTTAATTATATGCAATATCTTTGCCACACAAAGTTGCATGGTATTTAACATCAAGACCATAATTCTCCTTCATTTCTCTCATAACATCATTTACCTTAATGGATGGATTTGAACGAACCTTGGCTGCCAACAAAAAGGACAAAACAGAAGGGCCAAACCTTTTATTCCCCTTTTGACGAATACGTCCAATGCAAGTATGAATATTATTTAATTTTTTAATGATAAAACAACCACTAGGCTCTTGCACAACATCATGAACATGCCACTGACACCCTTCTGACAGTTTCTTTGACCAAACAACAGTAACACGCTTCCAATCATTCCTAGTGAACTTAAAATCAAAACCAACCTCAAGAGCATTGTGTAAGTTTTCTACGAAACTTAACTGCACCATCTTTATAACTTTGACCCTCATCAGAAATATAACTCTACCACTCATTTATTGCATAATAGTGAGGTCTATAAGAGTCATATTTACCCAAATATTGGTTGACATGATGAGATTTCTGTTAGGGTCAAGGGTGGAAAAATCATTTATTTCGTTTCGGGCTTTTAATTCAGCCCATGATTGTTGAATGTTTGTGGGGTCTGATATAGATTAGTTTTGTCCTTATAATTAAATGTGAAGCCATTTTGATTAAATAATAGTATAGTATGATTTTTTATTACATTAAACTTAGTCCAAGTCCTTTTTATTAAAGCTCCCTTTATTATTTTCTTGTAGGCTAGTCCCCTCATTGGCATCTAACTTTTTATCTGAATGTTATATGCAGACAAATCTAACACAGTGGTCTGGTGCTAGCTTGCCTCTTTAGGTCAGTGTTTTTTGGTTGACAGAAATTGGTTTCTATAAGGTGTTATGACATTCCTCGATCCCAATGTTCACCAAACACCAGGGTAGGTACGTGTTGGCCAACACCTGAGGGTGACGAAAGCCATTTATTGAAAACATGATAATTAAAATATGAATAAGATAAGAGAAATTTAAATGTAATTAATATGCAAATGAGAAACGTATTTGTAAACACGGAAAATTCCTGAAACGAAAGCTACAAGAACAACGTGCACAAACAAATATTTGTATTAATGATTTAGGGGTTACAATCTCTTCTACGAATTTGGCCTCTGATTCTATCTTTGAAATGCGTAGATGTAGTGTTGCTGATCCAGGGGCCGTCGAGGCTTGATCTTGGACGAACAGTTGATGAGTGATGAACACCTTCTTCAAGGGCCGTCGGGGCTTGATCTTGAATGAGTGGAAGTTCTCCAAGGGGGGCGTTAGGGCTTGATCTTGAAGGAGGATTTCACGAAGAACGAAGAGGGCTTTCTTGATCCTTCGGGATTTGCTTGAGAGCTTCAGAGTTTCGAGGCTTCAAGGCTTTGGTGTGGTGTGAATTCTCTTCCAATTTGGGAGTAGAGAAAGTGTATGCCAAAATCCTCGCCTGATTCTTTGATGGAGGAGCCTATTTATAGACTTTGGGAATGAACCACCACCATCCATTTATTTTGGTGGATGTTGTAGGTGAATTTGGGTGGAGGTTGTAGGTGAATTTGGATGGATTGTTGTAGGTGAATTTGGGTGGAGGTTGTAGGTGAATTTGGATGGATTGTTGTTGTTGTATGTTAGGTGAATTTGGTGGAGGTTGTAGGTGAATTTGATGGATTGTTGTAGGTGAATTTGGGTGTATGTTGTAGGTGAATTTGGGTGGAGGTTGTAGGTGAATTTGGATGGATTGTTGTAGGTGAATTTGGATGGATTGTTGTAGGTGAATTTGGGTGTATGTTGTAGTTTTTAATGCAATGGTCAACATTTATTTCACTAAAATTTCAATGTTTACAAATGTAATTTTAATGCGATGGCTAACATTTATTTCAACGAAATTTCAATGTCTACAAATGCCCCCACTTCAAGGCGCATAGTATACATGTGCTTGTCACGTGTAGAAGATGCGTTTTGAAGTCCCTTAATGTAGATGTCGATCCAAGGGCCGTTGAGGCTTGATCTTGAACTGGTCTGGGAGTTTTCTTCAAGTGCCGTTAAGGCTTGTTCTTGAATTTTGTTTGAAATTTCTTCAAGGGCCGTTGAGGCTTGATCTTGGATGAAATTGGACCACAAGGAGCTTCACGTAGTAGACGATCCTTGGCTTTGATAATGGATGAATCAGCACGTATTTTGTTGTGCTTGTTGACTTTCCACAGCTTTGATCTTGAACTAGGCTGGAGGAGTTTTCTGGTTTCCTCCAAAGGACTTTCCACAGACTTAATCTTGAACTGGATTTGACTCAAGAGTGGTGGACACTTGATCTTGAGTCAGGGTCGTTGAGGCTTGATTTCGAACTTAAACATGACCACGAGCAGTTTCAGGACATGCATGCTTTGAAAGATCAAGGAGTTCGCAGCATTTTCATATGAACCCTGAGCAGTTTGGTCAACAGTATGATCTTCAAGATTGATGGGCTCTTCTTCCAGTTGGTGACTTGATCTTTAAGGATTATCGAGGCTTTGCTCTTCGGTGACGGTACCAGCGAAGGGTCGTTAAAGCTTCTCGAGCCTTTTGGGTTGGAGCAACGGTGTCTAACTTGGATCTTTACTTGAACTCCTCCGTCTGGATTATGTGGTCATGCAGGGAAGGGCTTCGTGCTTCATGATTTGTTCCAGCTTGTTGTGTTGCATTCTTCTCTGCTTATTTCTTTTGCATGGCTGAAGCGATGTGCAACCTTTTGCCTTTAAATGGTTCCTCGGAGCACCACCTCTCAGCGACTCACTCATGCTTGGCAGCTTCAGTGCAAAGAGCCGATGTCAACAGATCCACACTCTTGAAGCATTTGCTGAGGGAATTCGAGACATATTAGCAGTTGAAGATGAGCACTCGAGAGCAACGCTAGGTAAGTAACCAGGCAAAGGTTCCGGGCAATCAGTTCCTGGTCGGACATTTAATTTCAGGTTCCGACTGATTGCTTCCTTTCCCCTTGTTCTGCAGGCAAGAGCAAGGGCAGATGAGAAGATGGGGGAAGAGCATGATATGAGATACCTTTGCTTTCGACCCCAGTGATATGAGATACTTTTGCTTTTGAAGAAGTAGCGGACGATCAGCACATGCATTCGTCGCGCCTGTCTCCATATGCTTCGATGCATCATCTTCATCTGCATCATCTTCACCTGCATCATCTGTTTTCCAGGCAGACGTGGTAGACGAAGAGGAAGCAGAAGATGTTGACGATGCGTATTCGAGAGCACGGCTAGGTGAGCAATCAGGAAAGGTTCCAAGCAGTCGGTTCCTTACCAGGAGCTTGAGTGGAGGTTCCGACATATTGCTTTCTTTATCCTTGTCTTCGTAGTGAAGAGGGAGGACAAAGAAAATGATAGGGAGAAAGCATGCTATGAGATACTCTTGCTCTCAACCCCAGTGATATGAGATACCTTTACTCTGGTGTGGCTTGGTTGAAGAGGCGCTTCCAGGGAGGAAGAAAACTGAATTTTGGTTGCAGATGCCCTTGGCGAGGAAGAAAGGTCAGGCTGGATGCGTTTTCAGGGAGGAAGAAAACTGAGTTTTAGGTTGCAAATGTCTTCGGCAAGGAAGAAAGGTCAGGTTGGATGTGTTTTCAGGGAGGAAGAAAACTGAGTTTTGGTTGCAAATGCCTTCGGCAAGGAAGATGAGTCAAGCTAGATGTGTGTCTTGCTATAGGATGGAGGTCGAATTATATGGTGAGCTCTCAACATCAAGTGGTAGGGTGAGCGTGGCCTTGTCACCCACGCTTGTCGGCAGAAGTGCGGTAGTTGGCGTAATGGACCTCACACGTCTTCAACTTTGTCAGTGATATCTGACGAAGTTGCACGTGATAGCCGAAAGCTGAGATTGTGTCTGAGAAGTGTCGACGGACTTTACGCAGAAAAATCCGGGTTTTGAAATTCGGAGAGTTGGTGTTTCTTCGATTTTACGAACGAATGGTTGTGCTGCCTCTCCTTTTAAAGAGGTGTCAATTGTATTCAACACGCACAATTTGAAGATTGCCTGTCCGTGAAAAATTATCTCTGATTATCTCTGCTACTCTTTACTTCATCCAACCTTTTTCTTTTAGTATTTTTTGAAAATGACTTCCCCTTTTAACATTTGCTTAGATTTGAGTCTTAGCAGCGACACAGGTGCACCGCGTCAGGGTAATGTATGGCGCCCGTCTTTTTTTTCTTCTAATGGCCCTCTTACAGTTGAAGACTCTGTGATGAGGGATGCAACAACGGCTACGGTTGTAGCTAGAAACCTCCTCACTCCTAAAGATAATAGGATACTTTCACGACGGTCCGATGAGTTAGCCGTTCAAGAGTCCCAGGCTCTCAGTGTCCAGTGTGCGAACTCTGTTTCTAACATGGGCCAACGCTTACTTGCTCGAACTCGCCAGGTTGAATCATTGACAACTGAGGTGGCAGCTCTTAGTCAAGAGATTAGGCAGCTCAAGCGTGAGAATAGAGAGTTGCATATGCTTGCAAATAGTTATTCGACGAGCATGAAGAGGAAGCTTGATCAGCTGACGGACTCCGAAGGTCGAATTCAAAGTGACCATCGGAAGTTTGTGGATGTATTCCAGAGGCACTTTTTGCCTTCGTCATCTGGAGTTCGACCAAGTATTGAGGCTCCGAATAAGCTATCTTCGGTGCCTCCTTCTTTTAGGGTTCCACCGAGTACCAAGGCTTCAAGTACTGAGGCTTCACACAAGTGACATTCGTGGAGGCTTTTTCTACTTTCTTTCTCTTTTTTTTTTTTTTGGTTGTAATTTCTTGGAGATATTAATGGACATGCCTTATTTTATTCCGTATGTTGTGTTAAAACGCAATAAAACGTATATCTAACTAAGATGTATTACTTCCCTATACACCCACTTCCTTTTAGATAGTGACTAGTGCACCCATTTCTTTTTTTCCATTATTGACTTGCTAATAGTAATATGCACTTGTGAGTGGCTTGACGATAGCACGATTGGGTTTCTTGGTGGCCTTCCTCACTGCACTGCGTTCTTCTCGCATGCGGACCATCTTTTCACTTGCATAGTCACCTTATTACGTTCTTCACTGCACGCGGATTGCTATTTGCACAGTCACCATACTGCAGAGGATGCTGCATGCCGGTT